CGTGCACAAAACACGGCGGCCACCGGCACACGTAGTCTTTTCTTTATTAGTATTAATTTTCTCCGAGGGCTCTGTGAGCCATTTAAACCGTGCCTGCCGTATTTTTCCTCTCAACTTGTCTGAATCAGGAGTCCTAAAGAGGGCATATGAAATATTGATGTGGAATTGTCTGCCGTGCGATTCAGCTGTGTTTACCGCACAGCAGAGCGGCCTTAGAGGCTTAGCCTACACAATAGCCGTAACAAAAGAACAACAGCTGATCCGTGTGAGGCGAGGAGGTGACAAAACAGTTAAAGCATGCTGCTGGCTATGGGCAAGCAGTCAGCAGATGCAGACAAAAGGGTTTGTGACAAGAATAACTCTCTCTCTCCCTCTCTCTCTCTCTCTCTCTCTCTCTCTCTCTCTCTCTCTCTCTCTCTCTTTTCCTCTGTCCCTCTCTCTCTTTTCCTCTGTCCCTCTCTCTCTTTCCAAGGCAAGCAGTCAAGAGGATCCAAAATACCAATACCCTTTTCTCCTTGACATTGTCTTCTTCCCTAGTCAGCATTTTACTGCCCTTTTATGGTAAAAAAAAAAAAAAATGAGTTAGAGAAATTCCTCACAGGAATATTCTTAGCAATGCTGCACTCCTGGGCTTTACCATATGTTAGCGTCAGTAGCTACGCAAAGGAATCAGTTTTGATGTGAACATATCTCTGCCACAAATAGCATAAAGACAAATCTATTAGCTATAAAATCCTTCACATTAGCACTAAACAGGTGCTCACTTGCATCATTCAGTGCCCTATAAGACATTTTAAAGGGGACAAATGGAAGCCCTGATTTGCAATTAAAAGAGCCAATCAATGTTTTTTTTTTTACTTTAGGACTTCCATGAACATTAAAGGGATAGTTCACCCAAAAATGTTGTCATCACTTAACCCTCAAGTTGTTCCAAATCTGTACGAGTTTCTTTCTTCTGTTGAACACAAAAGAAGATATTTTAAAGAATGCTGGTAATCAAACGGTTGATGGTTGCCATTGACTTCCATAGTAGGAAAAAAAATACTATGGAAGTCAATGGAAGTCTGGTTACCAGCATTCTTTAAAATATCTTCTTTTGTGTTCAACAGAAGAAAGAAACTCATACAGGTTTGGCTTCATGCAAATTATAGAAGATTAAAATGAATCAGTGAACCATTTTTGAACTAGTTCATTCAAATGAATCATCCAAATAAACCAACTCACTAAAATGATTCAGACTTCCCAACACAATTTGAGAGAGATATTCTAGCTGAGCATGATTTGTCAAGCTACACCACTACTTGTTGAAAACTCTAATATATTGTCATTTTATTGTTGAATTATTGAAAACAATCTTGACAATTTGGTCAATTTTGGTCATTCTCCATTCAAGTAGAAAGGAGATGTACTTATATGTATTGTCTACATAAAATAGCTAACCGAAGGCATTACCAAGATGGCCACCGATCAGACTGACTTGCCTTTAAGGGATTTTGGGAGCATCCAAAAGAGACAGACTCCCTTCTGAGACCACACCAATTTGAGAAAGGCACCTCTATCACTTTTTTTCTTCTTCCGGTGTGCAATTATTCTGTTGTTTTTCCAGAAAGCTGCTGGCCATTGTCTGAGGGGGTGGAAGACTTATAAAAGTGTGAAAAAAATAGGGGAGAGGGTATGTTGCGAGTTGGGGTGTTGGGGAGGTTGGATATCTATAACCTTTGTAATCCCCCCCCCCCCACACACCTCTCTTCTCTTTTTCTTTCTCACCCCCTCCATTCCATGTGACATTCATTCATCAGCCAAGTGCGTTTGGCAAGCCCTTCGCCTATGAGCGCCGTCCCAGTGACCACTAACCTTGGTATGTCCTGACACTCGTGATGAGTATCTGCAGGACACAGAAGGCAAGCAGGCTGCTATGTCAGGCCTTTATTGTGTACTGCCGAGGCTGGGGACAGTCAGCATAATCAAACAAATGACCCCTGAAGGCTGTGCCCCTCAGGGAGGGAGAAGTAGAAGGAGACAGAGCTCTGGCCAAAAGCACTTGGGCAGGATTTTTTTTTATCTCCTCTTCTCTTCCCCCTCCCTTCCTATGATCTTGCCCCAGGAGAAAGTGTGGAGGAGGGGAGAAATTACTGTACGGCACTGTACAAAAATGTCACCCGTTTGAGACTGACAGAGTTTGAGCACAGCAGTGTTGCGATGATGCTTTAAATTACAAGTAGCTTACAACAATTTCAAAGTAGTTCAACCACAGTCAAGCCGCCCATGAAAAAAGTATAGTTGGTAACAAAAAGTATCTACGTTGAAGGTATATAAGGGAGCGATATAGCTAAATCATATAATTTATTGATAAATATTGAATAAATTATATATTATTTATTATTGAAAACAATACAATTTTATATAATTACACATAAATTTGAACTGAAATAAAACTAAACAACAACTTAACTTATCTGAACTGAACTGAATCAGAAACATAGTGAGAATCATCACTGTTAAACTAAATATTTATTCCGATGCCATGGAGTGCCATTATACAGAGAGAAGATTCAAATTAAGTTTTGAATCAGTTCTTTAAAATGAGTCATCCAAATGAACCATCGCAACACTATTTGAAAGAGACAGCTCTACAAACATTCAAATTAATCAATGAATCATTTTAACTAGTTCATTAAAATGAACTGCCAGAATGAACCAGCTTGGTTCACTGAGTGATGATTGAAATGAACTAATGAATGATTTTTTTAACTAGTTCATTAAAATAAATCCTCCAGATGAATTAACTCACTAGAGAGCACATTTTGTCACCCTACAATGCTACTTGTTGAAAACACTTACTTGTTACTGGAAAAGCTATTATGCTACACTATTCAGTTAGCAACGTCACTAAAGCTATTTACTCCCTGCACATCATAAAAGGGAGGTAGAATGCTGCACGTTACAGCATATAAACCCAATCAAGCCATCAACAACACTCCGTTGAATCATACCATCTAGTTTAACTGCCATTATAAGTTCAGTATTTATAGCCATGCTATAATTTAATACTGCATCACAACCAAAAGTCAAGCACTTATGATTGTGGCGGCAGAGTGAAACATCTTCCACACTGGTCAAGGCCTTCCAGACAAGGGTATGCCTTTGATGACAGTATATTTAACACACTTAATGGAAAAAAGGGAGCTGGGGATGGTGTGGGTCGCATGGATGAGATTCTTTGTCCTGACAACTGCTCACCTGGCAGGGCCTTTGAGAAGCAGTCAGGGTCTGATTGATAGTACTGACGGCAGTACTATCGCTGATCCCGATCCACGGGAGAGGGCTGCATTGATAAAAACCAACTATAGGACTTTAACCTTGCAGGGGAGGATGAATATTAGATGGTGCCATAAACTTTGCTGTTAATACATTGATTTAGGATGGTTAGAGTATAAACTGATCTGACTCTTTGTATCTGAAATGGATACTTCAACAGAAAAGTGGAACAAGAAAAAATATATATATTTAGAAGAATCTGTTTTTGTCCATCTAATGAAAGTCAACGGGGTCCAACACAAAATTAGACCCCACCGACTTCTTATGGCACTGACTATGATACATTGACTACTTTGGACAAAAAAACACCAGACATTTTTCAAAACAACTTATTTTGAGTTCCAAAGAAGAAACAGTTTCGCAATGACATGAAGTTGAATAGTCATTTTTCATTGAACTATCCCAGCTGTGTCCATCAAAGCCTAGTGTTTTCTCTGTGGCCTATTGTAACACATTTAATACGACAGCATTATGTTTTTGTTTCTCGTATGCAACCTTTGTGTCTGTTTCTGTGTCCTCGTGCCTGCTTCCCCATCTGTGTTTGAGCGTGTGGGTGTTTGTGAGTGTGTGTGGCAGTAAGCACCGTGTCTGGGAAGTGTCTTGTCTAGCTGTAGGGGAGGTGGCTTAGTTCTTTGCCTGGCTAATCATCTCTATAATGTTAGCGGAGAGGAACTGTCACTGGTGCTAAAGAGATCACAGGGCCAGTCTACAGTATGCCCCCGGTCTTGGCCCTCTCTCACGAACAACAGCCTCACGCCAGAAAGGATGTGTTCTGGTTGTACAGAGCAAACTCCTAAGTAGTGTCCTACACACTAGCTGATTATTTTGCTTGGGAAAACACTGCCGTTAGAGATCCAGACCCTGTCCAAGAGCACCAATAAGCTACGTGATTGTTACAGAATCAAGTTTTTCTGGAACCCGATAAGAAAAGCTGAATGTGGTATTTTATGGGCCGCTATCAGTGGCAGAATCTTCTTCTTCCCCTTCTAGAAGTGGAAGCATATTGAGACAAAAAGACATTTTATGAGACATCGCTAACAATCTTGTGTCAAATAAAGGGAAGTCAACAAATTATGTTTCGCTCGCTCTAGGAAGTAGACTCTAAAAGAGGAACAGCTCAGGTAATGTTTAACCCAATGAGTTCCTCTTGGTTACAACCTCACAAATTCTGCCACCTTCAAAACATTGACTGTAAGTTGTTATGCAATGGTTTAAATTGTTTCAATAAAAAAAAAAATCTTGCTGCTTTTTTGACTAGCCATTCAAAAGCATTTAAGTACTTTCAAGTCCCCCAATGTTGCAGTTTGACAAAAAAAAATACAAGTGATGTAAAAGATTTGAAAGACTAAAAACTGTTAAGTTCCACTCCAACACGGGTATTCAAGTCGCCACCACCAAAATGTGTTTCAGCAACTGAAACAAAAAGGAATTAGTGTAGTGATGTTTGGGGCTGTTCTCTATGTCCCCTCAGACTTGGCAGCCCAACGCTCCCCTATACACAGTTTCTGCCAGGAGGGTCTTTCGGCTCTTGGAGGGTCTCGCTTGAGCCTCAGTGCAAAAATCTTATTTTCTTTTTTTAATTCTCTTTTTCCTTTTTCCCTTTATCCCCTTTTCTTAATCAGAGACTTGGGATTGAAACGTAATATGTTTATTAATGTCATTGTCTCCTTGTGTATCAGCAGGTTCCGGAGCGATTCCTGGAAGTGGCACAGATCACGTTACGGGAGTTTTTCAATGCCATTGTGGCAGGCAAAGATGTTGATCCTTCCTGGAAGAAGGCCATATACAAGGTCATCTGCAAGCTGGACAGTGAGGTCCCAGAGATTTTCAAATCTCCCAATTGTCTGCAGGAGCTTCTGCATGAGTAGTGATTTGAATTGCTTACCAAGTATCATCCCTTCTTTTCGAGAAATCTTTACAAAGTAAGAGGTAGCATTCCTATTTTTAAGTCCCGGCTACTTTTGAATGACTTAGCTGTTAATTTTTTTTTATTTATTTTTTTTGCATCTTTTTGGGAAAGTCTATAAAATTCTTGATTGTTTTGACTGTATTCAATCCTTACCCCATTTTCCTTGCCTTTAAAATGGGCATTACTATGTTTACCACACAATGGTTAACAAATGGAACTGACACCCTGAATTTCTCTCTTTTATTGGTCTTTTTTTTTTTTGTTGAGGGCTTTGTTTTATCCCAGGATGTTTGCAATGTGTGATGGTTTTACTATTGCTGAATAAGACTTGCATTTGTAGCTTGTATAGATGTAATTATTATTTATGATTAATATAATTATTACCATTAATGTTATTCATGCTTGCTACAAAAAAAAAAAAAAGAAGAGAGGAAAAGAAAGACAAAAAATTGACATGTGGTATTCTTGTTTCTCATGGCAAATGCTACAGAAAATAAATTATTCTTTGGACAAAAAATAATAATAATAAAGAGGGGTATACATTTTCTATGTGGGAAATTCATATATATATAATATAAATTTATATATATATATTTGATGTTATTCTTGAAAGAAACAGCATTAACTGTTTTTTTTTTTTTTTTTTTTTGGTTTAGCCATTCTTCCATGTTGGCTAGGGTCCAATGTTCTTGTGTTTTGTGTCCACATTGATAGCACTGGCTCTAGGGAGGGAGGCCTACTCGTAGTTTTTTTTTCCTTGACAGAGCAGCCTCTCCTGTAACTAAGCAACATGGCCATTTCATACTGGGGCAAGCCAGTTCGGCACAAAAAAAATGGACGCCTTCCCACTGAGAAACCATTCTTGCTCATAAAAAGCACACTGTCACAACTGCTCGCATAAACACACACACACATTACTCTCATACATAGACGCTAATTCACAAACACGTGCCGTACGGCATCAAGACAAGAGAATGGTTGTTATTGTTCATTTTCTCCACCTGCTAGCTGGGAACACCTCTATAATTGGACTGTAAATTTGGTAGATTATCTCAAGTTTGGTTTACACAGTAGAGATTTTGGCTGAGAATAATTATTTGAGCATTAGCAAAAGTTTTTTTTTTTTTTTTCTTTGTACGTACTGGATTGTACATAGTTTATTTGTTAGAATTGTACAGATTTGCTTAATATTCACAATCATCTGATTATGCTGTGGCAGTGTACAGTTTATCAGTAGTGAAACCATGTTAAAGAGAGACATTGTTTGTTTGAGTTCAATTGTACATTTCTATATGAATCATATGAATTTCTTTGAGTTGCATTTTAGTAGCTTAGCCTGCTAAGAGATCCACGTAAATGTAACTAATCACAAAAATTAGCCTACCCTAGAGGGAAAAAAAAGCACAGTTTCTTCTCAAATCCGTGTTGACAAAAGAAAAGAGGGCCTTCAGACTCTTTGTGCATCCCTTCCTAGTTCATAAATAAGAGTCTGCAGTAGAGGGCAAGGGCTGGACATGTGATCTGCTCTGGAAGCCTGTGCCGTTTGCATTGGGCAAATCCAGCTGATGAATTGAAACGCAGGCCGGCAATTATTGTCAGCACAATGCCTTAAAAAACCTGCTGACTTCTAGATTAATGGGCACAAAAGAGCATGAGGTGCTGTCATTCTGTCGCCAGGGCTGGCATCATCCACAGCCCCCGGACAACGCACAAAACGCCAAGCTATTCACTATGCATTGTAAAGAAGAGGAAAAACAAACCCAAAAACAAAGTTTGGCCCTGTTCTCTTCTCAAGTCTCTTGCAAGGCTGTGCTGACGTACGTTCTCCTTTACATGCATTGTGATAAATAAACGATTCTTTCAAGTCGTAAGGAATTCTGTTATCACTATTGATTCATTTAAAGGTGATGCTTTGCAACATTTTCAACCCTAAAAGTGAAGGTTGTGTCATTGCAATATTTTAATTTGCGCATAAACTGGTGCTTAGTCAAATTCATCTGCTCATAATCATCTATACAAACAGGTATCGTGTGTTTTACGCATTTAATGAATCTGATAATTGCCTGTGCCTAATGTTAATTACACCAGCAAATTATTTTTGTTTTTTAATAAAAGAAAATACCATAAAATGTCACCGAAATTATACGATTTGACTTGTAAATCCTATGAAGAGACATAGATAGACCTGGAAAAACAATAGCACAAATTGAAATTGAGGGTTATATTCTCCTTCTTTTGAAAGAAAATGCCCTCACACTAATAGGGTAATGAACTACATGCAAAGTCCAACTTTTACAGCCCATTTGATGAAGAACAAGTATGACGCTTAGTTCCCCATGAATCTGATGTACTTTGAGCCATTTAACGTAGCACAGAGGCAATACGTGTGCATAGGTGTGTGTGCGTGCTTACTTGGGCATGTGCGTGTTTGCAGGGAGTGTGTGATATACACGCATGATAGTACGTTAGTTTTAGTTCCCATAATAACTTCTGTTTATTTTCTTTTATCTATTGTTTCTCTTTTTGAACTTTTATTTGTATTTATCACTGTACTGCATCTTCAAGACAAACCAGAGTGAGGTTACGTTCAACATCTCAAGTCTTTTTTTTTCTTCTTCTTCTTGCTATTATACTTCTAGAAGTGTTATGATGTTTTAAATGTTTCGAGTGGCTCTCGGTCGACTATTTTTCTCCCCTTCATCTCACCACCTCTTCAGGGTTGTCCGTCAAAGGTGTTCTCGCTCGGTCTGCATTCATTTGGTATTGAAATGAGATGGATCTGTTTGCGTGGTTACACAGGGTCATTTGCTGTGTTGCTTTGTGTCGAAAATCCTAAATGTAGCCGTGTACATTTCGCACTCCATTAAGGACACTCTATAGAAGAAGGAAAAAACCTATCTGAATAACCTTGATTCAAAGTTTGGGTATGAAGTACACTATTGCTCATTTACATTTGACATAAGAAACTTTGTTTTTTCATGCAATGGAAAAAAAAAATTCTGTCATGTAGTGATATGTACAAATCAATTGCCAAACTCAGTTTGGGACTGTTTTTTATTACAAAGAAAGACATTACAGAAGAGAAAAGGAAGAAAGAAACTTTGTATATGACTATATTTCTCGGAGGGGAACAATTATTTGTACTGAATGCAATGTGTTGTACAAGACTCTTGACTCTTTGTAGATCTGATGCTGTATTTATGAGGTGTGTGCTCCCTGAAGGGTTTTAAACATGATTTCACTGGCTTCGACATGTATGTAAATACAAACCGAAAATGAGAAAACACTGCCTTTCTATGATTTAGCAATATGATGTAAATAGCATTGTTAGGCTTTTTTTTTTTTTTGTATGAAAGAACTCTTTGATTCTAGTATGCTAATTCCAGCTGAAACTGTTATAATTTTCTTTAATACGTTTTGAAGGATACACATACATTGTTAACGGGATAGCATTGTGGATTTTGTTGTCAATTTGTCATACAGAACTTTCATAATTTATTGGTTTAATTTATCATAATTTATTTGGTGATGGTGTAATTTTGGTATTTCTGGGGATGTATTGTAATATTATTTGGTATAGAAAGAGACCATATAAATGCCCTCCTAAGCTCCTTAACTCTGTAGAGACATAAAGAGACACATATGTCCAGGTAGCCATTGTAATTTCAGACACTGTAGTCATAAGAGACGCTTGATGGGGAAAAAAAAAACAAAAGAAAAAAAAAAGATGTACAAAACAACTTTTCTTCTATCTTGTTTGGGGGGGGGGGGGGGGGGGGGATGCGTGTTTTGAAGTTTTTATTTCTAATCACTTAAACAGACTTTTACCTTTGCTTTTTACCACCTACACAATACAGTAGTCAAAGTGCCTCGTGTGCCTTCCATCTCCTCGGAACTGAATGTATGTGCAGTATATATGCAAGCTTGTGCAAAATAAAAACTAAGTCCTAGATCAGGTGTTTCCTTTTGCCATTTGTCATCATTTAAATCAGCATGGTAATCAGAGAAAAACCAAGGAGATTTTGAGTTGCCTGTGATGATGCCAGAAGATATTATATTAGACGATAATATTTCAGGGTCAATCCAAGTTAAGTTCGGTTCAACTCACAGAACTTCAAGTTGATTGCCATGAAAATTCATTTCAATCTCTATTTTATAAAAAGCAAAAATCTAAGTTTCAGTGAAACACCTACAACGAAAGTGAATGGGGCCAATCAGTAAATGTTAATATACTTTTAAATAGGTATAAACAGAGTGTTATGATTTTATATGGAGGAGGAGGAGGAGGAGCGGGCGACGCTAACCTTTTCTGTGAAATGTTATATAAAATTGTACATGACATAACACTTAAAACTCTTAAATAGTAAGATTTTAACAAAATAATGAATGTAAGGTATTTTATAAATTTGCAGGCCACATTTCTGATTTTAAATCCTCCAAAAATTGGCCCTATTCACTAAGCGTCTCACTGAGAAAACTTTTTTTGAGAGAATCAGCATTAAGCCCCAAATGGTGTCAACTGAGTTTATTCATTTCAGCTAACTGTATAACTATTAAAATGTTAGGCCTTTCTCCATGTAAATCAAATTCCTAATCAAGCCTGTTATTTCGTCATTCTTTGATTCAGACTGAATAGAATCACTGGAGATGCACTTCATCAGATATTTCTCGATTATATTGTCTTTGACAAAACACTACAATGATGTCATTTCATCTGGATTAATATGAACAATCTGAAGCGGAGATAAATAATAATATAAAATGCTTCAAATGTTCACATCAACATCCAATCTTAATTGCAAAGAAAGAGGGTGGAAAAAGGTGCACGTGGGGAGAAGAGAGCAGCGCTCGCGCAATTGTGGCTCGTGCGGCGCTGTGGAAGGAAGCGGGGCGGCCGCTGCTGTAATTTATAGTCTGATACAAAGAGGCACTTTAGTGGGCCTGGACCGCTCCAGCGGCTCCGCTGAACAGGAGGTGGGGTCAGATCACCCCCCCCTTCCCACCCTCCGCGCCATAATGACGAGCAGAGCCGCTCACCGCTCCCCTTCTGTTTGATTTCATCATCGCGCCTTTGAAAAGCACATCTTAACAGCACAACAATAAAACAGCTGTGTTTGTGTTGGCCCATTCATTGTTGAAAATTTTACCACCATCCCCTCTTCTCTCCCCTCCCTAAAGAGATAACACGAGAATAATGTCGCTACCGTGATGCTCTCTCAGAAAAGAGAAAGGAAAGATCGCTGTTATTAATTGGTTGTTATTAAAGCAGAGGGGGATAAAGGTTTTGTTCGACGTTCTCACAGGCCTGTCCGTAAGGTAGAATGCATTTTGATGGCTTTTGTAGCAATGTTGTAATAAGCATGTGAGGTTTTTTTCATGAATAACGGTTAATTATCTGGCAACATTTTTTTTTTTTCAGATTTGAAAGAATAAAACTGTTTTTTTTTTTTTTTTTTTTTTTTTTTTAGTTCAAAATGTGAACAAACACTAAAGCTTGTGTAAGCAGCGCACCGGCTGACCTCTGTCAGATCGGGGCATTTTGTTTTGGTTATGTAGAGCTAACACTAACAGGCGTGTATGACCTTCCCTTTATCAAGAAGACAATGACCTCATCACTCCTTCTGGCATTACATGCAACTTCAGATGCAGCTGCATCGGTTTGGATCCAGAGCTCATGGCTGGATCCAAACGACATGGACAGACGCGGTCAAACGCGCCAGGCTCGTTTCTTCCTTCTTTTTTACGGAGGACGAACCTCTGGGGCTTCCCGCCTCAGCTCAGAGCCGACAGGCTCCTTGCAGTTGGGCTGAAGCAGCATCCTTGCATTACACGAACAGTCTGCTTCATAATCAAATACCATCTGTCGCTACATCTGAACCTGTTTTTAACATCTGTGCTTTCTGGTCTTAACAAAGCTTTAAAAACCAATTCACAACTTTCACAGCTCACTGGGCTGGATGTGTATATTTACTACTTTTAATACATCTTTCTGCTACTTTTACGAGGGCTCTGCTCTCTCCCAGCTGGGGGGCTGTTAGGAGGGCTGCTGGTAGGATGATACTGCCTTGCTCAAGTACCAACTGGCCCGCCACGAGTAGCCAAGTGCAGAGCACTGCCGCACACCGGGTCACAAAGGAAAAGGAGTGAGGCGGAGGAAGGGAAAACAAGGCGAAATGTGCCCCGATGAGAGAATGAACACCTTTTGCCAAAACAAGTTTTGTCCATTTGCCCCTCCGATGAGGAGGCTTGGAGTTGATCACGCTTGAAGCCCTATTACTGGAAATGGCAGTGCAGGCCGAATGGCAACCAAGGGGAGAATCACGAGCGTGGAGCAGAAGTGTGTTCTGGGTAAATGGGTAAGTGAAAGGTCCCTCCGAGGACAGTTCGGTCTGTCACCTCGCACATGCCGAGGAATCTGCAGTGTCTTCTACAACTTCAAACCCATTCGCCGGCAGATGTTACCGGAGAGGGTTCCAGAAAACATGATGGTACGTTCTGCAAAGCCAAAAGTAGACGTCAGGCCGATGTTTTCTATTCGCTGTCTCTCATATTTGCTACATGTTGAGCAAAACAGCAATCTCTCTGTTCAGTTTGTGTTCTCATATCAAAACGAACCATAGAAATTAGATGATGTGAAACAAAACCACATAAAAAGGTATGCCAAAATGCCATTGGTTGGCAGTTTTTCCCTCTAAGCCTTGTGCAAATTTTATGGGTCAAGGACAAACAAGAGTGTCACCAAATAAAAAGTTATTTTAAAAAAATCTAGTTTCAGATACATGTATCAAGTTCTCAAAAATGTATGCGCTTTGTATTCATGTTGGGTTCATATGGTTTCAAAAAACTTTTATATCATTTTAAAAAAAAAACG